ACACATGCAACATCGATTGTACATCGTCTTATATTTCTTGACATATAGAAATATCGCTATAGTCAACACCATGCAGAATAGAAAGAGCTCTTAAAGCTTGGGCTGCCGAGACTACAGTCAAATTAAATGGTATATATATAATATATTTTTGATATGCCACCATTTCCATTCGATATCTTACACGTTGTTATATTTACTCGTTCGGGTAGGGGAAGAACTTTAACCCCAATTTTGTATTCCTTATCATTGTAATCCTTCTTAAATGGGAACAAGCAATATTGATGTTTTGTGAAGCTATTTCCGGGGACGTATAGCATATCATTCTATAAAAGCAAAGTATCACTCTATCTTCAGTCAATAATGTTCATATTTACAGTCTACATATGATTCTACGTGCAAGACTTTAGAATGCACCGATTATCAAATTGGCCACACTATAAGGTCTTAATTGCATATAAGAGTTTTAAATAATACTGATTCCAATTGTAACATGTTTTATAAAATCTTAGAACTGTCCTCCCCATACAAACATACGGACGGACCAAGCAAATGTATTTTTACTTCGTGAATGAGTATAACTTAAAAATAGTCTCATCAAACCTCCGTATCACTCTCGCTGAATGCTCCACACGGGTTTTTATAGAATACTTGCACAGCATAGTCTTTGAGGATATCCTTCTGCACTACTTGACCGTTGAGAAGAGTTATGTTCAAGGCTCGGAATTTAAAGGAGTTTGGAGGATCACAGCAAAAGATTAGGCATGGCTTTATATGACAGACACATCCTCGGATATAGTCATCTACTTCCTTTATTCCATCAAGGAATATCTTATCGTTGAATATCCCAGTTTTTTCTTTAGGAATTATAATGTCTCTATATTGAAAGGATCTGAGAGTTGAACGCTATTTGTTAGATCGACGGTGTCAAAGAAATCGCAGCCTGGAATATCGCCTCGTATCTCAGCTATAATAAGACTGAGTGTAAATATGACACAAAAGATCTTTTTCATTGTATTAGATAAAATAACAAATAATTTTGACATCGACTTTTTAAATGCGGGAACTGTTCTATACAAGATCCAAATATAAACTGAGAGTTTAATTGTACGATTTGTGTACAACACGTACTTTTTACATATATGAACTAAATTATGAAGGGTAGAAAGAAGAATTTATATTAAAACCATGTAAAACCACGAAGGTTTTGAGTGAGTAATGTCTGGCTATGGGTTAAAAATAGTTAGTTATAGTTCTATGTATATAAGGAACAATTACAAGTACTCGACCCCATGATCCCCATGAGCCCTTCGAAAAACCTTTCTCACATACGCACACACATTGATCAATAAATTTGATAATATCATTAAAATATACATATGTCTCTCCCAAGGTACAAGTTATCGGTTACGATAACTATTTATTAGGTTTATAGCTATTGATCGATTTTGGCTTTCAGACTGAAAAAATCCCAAAGAATAATATATAAATGATCTGAGAGTGAATAAAAAACTTGTGGAACTCATATTTTGCTCGCTAAATAAAAGGCATAGCCTTATCAAATGATGATTATGGTAACTCTTTTAATGAATATGACAAACTCAACTTGAAACTTGAGTTAAGGTAGCTGCATGACAAAAGCTGAATGCTATGGAAATCGATGGAAGGTACCTGAATGCTAAAATGTTGATTAATATTGCACATTAAGGCTCATTTGAAATTGCTTTTGAAATCTAATTTCACTCATTCAGTAAAACCACACTAAACAACTGACAACTGAATGGCGCATTAAAACTTTTGGAAATATTCATCATAATTGCTTGCCTAATAAATAACGTAGCCTTATAAATGTCTCTGAAACTGTGGGCCATCTCTTCTAGTGAATATGGCAAAAACTAGAGTGAAGACAGCTGCAGGACACACGCTGAATGTTATGAAACTTATGCAAATATTGATCATAATTTGTTTGTTCAGACAAAAAGCTTAGTCCAAAGAATACCATGAATGCACTGTGGTCCAAACTCTCTAGTGAATATAATAAAAAATACTTGAAACATGGTTTGGGCAGCTGCATGTCAAAGGCTGAATGCTACAAGACTCGATGTAAGGTACATCAATGCAAAGACTGAATAACATGAAGCTTGTGAAGTTATCCTCATCGCTCACGAAGTAGAAAACGCAATTCATATAATCACTGACCAGAGAACACATAGACTAGACATGTAGAACAAATTTTTCTACACCTCGACACTGTTAAGTTGAG